GCGACAAGCGCATGCCATCGGCTTGGTATATCATGGACATGTTCGACAAAGCTGGAGGCGACGAAGATTCGAGGGTGTTCTTCGAGGTGCTCAACTTGACCCCTTCTGGCAGGACGATTCAAACGAGCTCTGCCAAACTGTGCGACGTCGCAGACATATGCATTAGCACCGTGTCCGTCGAGCCTGGCTTTGTGGAGGAGCACGGCTGCTTGCGCGTGAAGCGAGATGGAAAGGTGGCGCAGACGTTGAATCTACGGAGCTGGTGCACAGTCGACGGCCTGCACCAGGCAGCGAGCACGCTACGGCGATGGGAGATCAAATCATCGCATGGTGTTCCCGCCTTGCTGAAGGCAAGCCGCGGGATGCTTGGGGCCTCGACCCAGTTCGCCGCCATCCAGGACGAGGCGGCAGTGGCGCCGTCGGCGATTGCGCCGGTACTCCGAGCCACCTCCTTTCCCCCCTCCTCCTGAGCCTGCGCCGCCTCCTCCCTCCTCCTCCCTCCTCCCTCCTCCTTCTCAGACTCCTCATCCTGATCCTACCTCCTACCTCTTCCCTACCTCCTCCCTCCTCCTCCTCTTCGTTCTCTGCCTCCTCCTCCCCTCCCCCCACTTCTTCTCCCCTCCTCCACCTTTCCGCCGCGAGGTCCTGAGACCAGAGTTTTCGGACAGTGGCGACGAGGCCGACGCCACCGACGCTGCCGAGGGTGCTGCAGATGCACTGGCTGCGGTGCCAGTGCCGGTGGAACAGGCTGCGGTTGCACGTGAAAACACCCAGGCGATCGAGGTTGCACTAGAGTTGTATTCGACACATGGTGCTGTGCTCAAAAAGTCGTCGATTCAAGAGAAAGGCGTGACCGCCAACGTACTCAAACGATTGGTAGACTTTGGTTTCTTGAGAGTTGAGGACGCCGAGAATGATGACCCTCACTACTTGGCGAACTGGGCTGCTGTGTCTTGGTCGGTGACTCGAGTGATTGGCCACGGTTGTTGTATCATGGAGTACGACAGGCACGTGGTCTCGCATCGCCAACGGTCAAAAGTGGAATGTGCTGTTATTCTGCTTCGGACAGGCTGGGCGAGGGGGGCAGCTGGATTGGCCCCAGTGACAAAGGATAGCCCTCGCAATTTCATCGTTCAAAACTTATTTCGCTCAGCTGATTACTGGCACGCACTCCTACATATCAACGAGATCTTTTGCAAAGGTGCCCAAGAGATTCTGCACGACAGGCCAAGGGGATATTACAAGTGCTTGCTTGACTTGGACGCTGAGCCCCTGGCCGAGTTATTGGGGCGACCTGACCTTCTTCGACTCAAGGAGGTTGACTTCAACCGCGTGCTAAAGAAACTTGCTGTAGATGTAAAGCCAGAGGCGCTGGAGGATGAGGGCCCAGGGCCATTGGCCATTGAAGATGGCCCGCCACCTCTAGCTGCCGCGCACCTCGCGCCAAAAGTTGGTCATGAGATTGTTTACCTTGGCGCCACAATACACTACGACAACTGGTCGCAACGCAGCGGAGAGAGGCGAGCCTACATCTATTGTCCCAACGCAGATCACCGCGACCACAACAATGTAAGGTGCACTAAATACAGTCAGCTAAATCAGTTTCCGACTGTCAAGGATATGTGCGCATGGTTGATTGCGTGGAGGGACTGCGGGGCCGCCCAACCCGATCGGTGTTGCCACAGGTGCTTCTGCCCATCGCCAGCGCAAGTTGCTGAGCGCAGAGCTGCGATAGGGTGATTGGTGATGGATCTCATCGCAGTGGAAACAAAACTCCTGGAACTCCTCTTCTCCTCCTCCTCCTCCTCCTCCTCCTCTCCTCCTCCCCCTCTTCCTGCTCCCTCGTCAAACTCTACGCTTTCCCTCCCTTTCTTTGCACTTTCATCCTCCTCTTCTTTCGCCGCCCCCTCCCACTCTCCGCTCCTCCTCCCTCCTCCCTCCCTCCTCCTCCTCCTCCTCCTCCTCCTCCTCCTCCTCCTCCTCCTCCTCCTCCGGCCTCCTCCTCCTCCTGCTCCTCCTCCCTCCTCCTGCTCCTCCTCCTGCTCCTCCTGCTCCTCCTCTCGGCCTTCAAAATCCTAGCGCTGCAAGGAGAATGGGTTCGGCGGGCGCTCGCGATGCTGCGGCGTCGGTTCCCACAGGCGCTCGTCGTACATCTGACTCCAGAAGATATCAAAACCATTATCCACTCTCACCCTCCCCCCTAGGCCCTCGGGCGAAGGATGTCGGGGCCCCCAGAGACCACAGGGAAAAGGGGCAGAGCGCAGCTAAAAGCATCGATGCTTTCGGGAAGTCAGAACTTGGCGCTCTCAGATTTTACACAATCGGAGCAAGGCATCAAGGCGGATCTCACGATATTGGTCCGCAAGATCTCTTAGACGCCGTCTCTCTCGGTCTCTGCAGTCTTGCCGATGGGCCACGAAGTCTTTGTAATCCTCCTCATCTTCGAACTCGAGGTCATCTATGGGGCACCAGGGGTACACTACAGCAGGCCCCAACAGTAACGGCCCAGGCCCTGGAGTCCTCTGATTTCCCCTTCCCCCTCCATGCGCTCACCCACCTCTTTCTCCTCCCTCCGCCCCGTCCTCGCACTCCTCTTTCTCCCTCCCCCAATCCTCCCGCGGGGGCAGTGCGGGCTGCGTCGCAGAATTTCGTGGATGCTTTTCGATCTGAATATGGTGTATACGATGAGTTGCCGTGGCGGGGAGAGTTGTTGTTTGTCTTTTTATTTTTGTTTGAATTGAACTGGTGTTGTTATCGCGGTGTCTGGTTTTCGTGTCCCGTTTGACGTTTGAGTTTTTTGATGTGGTGTCCGCCACAACCCTTGGTTGTGGCTCCTCGGGGTCGACTTGCTCAGCTGCTGGCTGGGAAGGCGGGGCGAGAGTGGCAGGCAGCTTGCGACGACGAACCTCGCCCTGCGCTGCAGCGCTATTCTCCATGGGGTGGCGGGATTAAAGGGCAAGGGGGGGCATCTCCAATTTGTTTGAATTGATCAAATCTTCCCCAAATCTACATGGATTTCCGCGGTGCCCAAAGTCCTCGCGCAGGCTGGTTGCCTTCATATTTTCAGGTTAGGATCTCGATCTTTGGAGCCCTTGCGCCGAACACCCCATCTCCAGGAGATGCGCCCCCTCCCCCCTTTCACGAACTTCGGGCCGCCTGAGGGGGCCGAAACCTGATCCATATGTCAACTGAGGAACTTCAACGAGGCCCCCGCATCGAGAATGTCAGGGGCCGGCGATGAATGGTGAGAGAGTGGATGGAGGGGTCTGGAGGAGGAGGGAGGAAGAGGGAGGATGAGGGATGAGGGATGACGGGTGGGAGGATGAGGAAGAGGAGGAGGAGGAGGAGACGGAGGAGGAGGAGGAGGAGGAGACGGAGGAGGAGACAGCCGCTGCAGCCGAGCGGCTCTGAGCTTTGAGCTCTGAGAGCTGGCCGCCGCCGAGGCGCCGAGGCGCGCTGCATTCTGCGCGCGGTCTGTGGACCCCAAGACCCCAAGACCTCCTCCGTCTCCCTCCCCTCATCCTCCCTCGACCTCCTCCCCCCCGTCCTTCCCGCTACCAGCGGTCGGTTGGCCTCGGGAGCGTCCTATGGGATGGTGGTCCCTGGAGTCCCTGGTCGATACAGCTTACCTGGTCCCTGCAGCTTACCAGCTTATCAGTCTGGCCCCCCTGGAATTCCAGCACAGACACACCTAAGATGCCCAAAGCGTCCTTCCAGCACAGACACACTTAAGATGCCCAAAGCGTTCTTCCAGCACAGACGCACTTGAGATGCCCAAAGCGCACAGCACACACACGTTCAAGATGCCCAAAGCGCTCTTCCAGCACAGACACGCTTAAGATGACCAAGCGCCAAGAGCACCACTGGAATTACCAAAAACGCCAAGAGCACCACTGGAATTACCCCAAATGCCAAGCACCACTGGAATTACCCAAATACCAAGAGCACCACTGGAATTGCCCAAACGTCAAGAGCACCACTAGCATCGCCCAACCACCATCACCATCATCAGCATCATCAGCATCACCATTCCAGCACAGACACACCTAAGATGCCCTAAGCGTTCTTCCAGCACAGACACACTTGAGATGCCCAAAGCGTTCTTCCAGCACAGACACGCTTAAGATGCCCAAAGCGCTCTTCCAGCACAGACACGCTTAAGATGACCAAGCGCCAAGAACACCACTGGAATTGCCAAAAACGCCAAGAGCACCACTGGAATTACCCCAAATGCCAAGCGCCACTGGAATTACCCAAATACCAAGAGCACCACTGGAATTGCCCAAACGTCAAGAGCACCACTAGCATCGCCCAACCGCCATCACCATCATCAGCATCATCAGCATCATCAGCACCATGACCAACAACAATATCATCAGCATCATCAACATCATCATCAGCAGCACCATCGCCATCATCAGCATCATAGCGCCAGTAGCATCACCCAGACGTCATTACCCACACTGTCATGAAAATCAAGTGTCATCAGTATCATCATTACCATTGGCGTTCGGGGGGCTCCGATTTGCTTCAATTTGAGGGCGAGACATTTTTTCGGACCCCGAAAAGTAATTCCGCTATGTTTTTTGGCTGCGTGAAGGTTTCTGAAGCTTTTTTGGGAGAGTTGGCCGCCGCGCGGCCGCCGAGCTGCCACTAGCGGCCATCGCCCAGAGCTGGATGGCTGGAGAATGGCCGGAGAATGGCCGGAGATGGCGGGAGTCTGGCGCGACGGGGCGGAGGCGGCTGGAAATCCGCCGTTCAGCCGCCACTTCAGCTCTGAAAATGCTGCGCGGGATGGCGGGAGAATGGCCGGAGTATGGCCGGAGATGGCGGGAACTTGCCGCCCCTGGCTGCAGGCAGCCCGTCCCGGCGGCCGCCGCCGAGAGACCGCCGAGAGACCGCCAGCGACCGCCAGCGACCGCCAAAGACTGCCGATCGCCTGAGAATTCGCCCGAATTGCGTTCGTTTTCTTTCCCCCCGCAATCGTCGCCGTCGACTTAGAAGTTTTGGCTCGAGCGGCTCACTTTTAGCCCCAGCCCAACCCGAGCCAGTGTTTGCAGCAACAGGCTAGGAGAACGCACTCGCTGCAGACATGAGTTCCCAGGGGCCGCCTTCCAGCGTGAGCCCGATGTTGGTTGGGCAGGTGTTGGGGACCGTCAGGCCTCCCGTCGACCTCGATGACGATGACGGTTTGTCGGACGCCTCGTCGGTCTCCCTGGAGGCTCCGACTTTGCAGTTCAGCTCGGGCCTCACTCTGGACTTCACTGATGTGACGCCTGAAGATGGCGAAAGGGGTGCTCCTGGGACCTCAACGAACGGCACTGCCACCAGCGTGGCGTCGGAACCGCAGGAGTCCAAGGAGGAGTCGCAGCCGCCGCCGCAGGAGTCGCAGCCGCAGGAATCCAGGGAGTCCAAGGACCAGCCGCAGGAGTCGCAGCCGCAGGAGTCGCAGCCGCGGGACAGGTCTAGGTCGAGGTCTCGGCCGTTGGTGTCCCCGCATATCTTCGATTCGAAGGAGAATGCGACCATGTACCGATCCATTGCTTTCGAGCAGGACGCCTACCCAACGTTGCCGAACCTGGTCGCTGCAGACACCATGGATTGCATCTTCAAGTCATGGCCAGAATGGCGCGAAGCCCTCATGCTGGTGGGCGTCCCAGACGTCAGTGACACGTCCAGCCCAATGAAGTGCGTGGAAACGTTGTTCGACACCGTGGCGACGGCGCAGTGGGTGGATACTGTGACGGCTCAGATGTACAAGGCATTCCCTTACTACCGGGAGGCCAATTGGACCCTGCCGTCGATCCTTCTGTGGGAGGTCGTTTGTAACTTTCATATCAGGCGTCGGGTTGAAACTCTAAGAGTCTAGCTGATTCAATCCTTGCCTCCTCCTCCGAGCCTCCTCCTCCTCCTCCTCCTCCTCCTCCTACCCCCCTCCTCCTCCTCCTCCTCCTCCTCCTCCTCCTCCTCCTGCCTCCTCCTCCTCCTCCTCCTCCTCCTCCTCCTACTCCTCCTCCTCCTCCTCCTCCTCATCCTCCTCCTCCTCCTCCTCCCCCTCCCTCCGTCTCCGTGAAGCGGAGGCCCAAAACGTTCGCGACGAACTTTTCGCAGGCGATCGCGATCGCGATCGAGGCGAGGCGACCCCTCCCTCCTCGCTCCTCCCTTCTCTCCCTTCTACCTCTGGGGCCATCTCCCCCCGCCCTCGACGACGACAACGACGACGACGATGACGACGGCGACGCCCAGGCCATAATTTTCCCCAGCCAGCTGGCGAGGTCAAAGTGGTGGATACCTAGTGACGCCCAGGCCCCTTGAGAGCTGTCTGCCCCCTTAAAGACGGGTTGGTGGCGGGGCCGATGGGTGGCCCATCATGGGTCGCGGGCGCGTCGCGAGGCGCGCGGGTCGCCTGTGGGTCGCATGCGCCGCGCCCGCCCGCCCGCCCCCGCACTCTTACCCGCGTTTTCGAGGTGCTGCGTAATGCTGCCTAATAGGCGATACCTCGCACCATTGTGGGGCTCAGCGGATATCCAAGGCTCGAGAGTCGAAGGGGGCCTCATCCTCCGTCTTCCTGCTCTGGGGTCTGAGCCTCTTGGAGGGGGCCGTCCTCCTTTTATCTCCGTCCTACCATTCTAGGATTCCAGGGGGGTCATTTCTAGTCTGGCCCTGGGGGGCTTCGTGCTTCGTGCTTCTTGGAGGCCGCCTTCCTTCCTCGCCCACCCTTTCCCCTTCTGTGATGCGATCCCCGCAGGCAAACCCATCCAAGCATGTTGTTCGACTTCGTCGAGGGCATGAGTGGCAAAGGCAACGTTTACAAAGAAGTCGGCAAGGCGGGGTACAAGAGCGTGGGCTTGGACAAGAACTACGCCCCCTTCCTCAAGCTGGGCACTGCGATGGGGACCAGGAGCTACGTCTCGGCTGTGCGCCGGCTTCGCAAGTACGGTTTCGCGTGGATGGGCATTGAATGCAAGACGTGGATTTGGGTAGGCAGGAGCAACTTCCGCCGCTCAGTGGAGGATCCGGAGGGCGACGTCTCCAACCCAGATGTATGCGAGGCTAACGTTGTGCGCGACTTGTCGGGTTTCCTCATGCTCTTCGCCACGATGATTGCTGCATTCTGGGGAGTCGAGCAGCCCAGGTCAAGCCTGTGCAACGTGAGCTCACCGATCAAGCTGATCCTGAAAAAGCTTCAAGCGACCACTACCAGTTTCGACCATGGCGCCTACGATGATGATGACGCCCCACAGAAGCCATTGAAGCTGATGTCTACTGCGCCCTGGGCGTATCTCGCGAAGAAGACCGTCGCAACTACTGACAACAGGGAGCGCTTGTTCACAACCGAGAACAGCGGGGGCGTGACCGGCAAGAAGCAAGAGCTAAAGGAATCGGAACACTACAGCGTTCAGTTTGGCCAGGAGATCGCGAAGCTTTTCTCGGAGTTTTTGCAGCAGGATTGCCGCGGATTGCCCTGAGTCGCCTGGGCTCTGAGCCTCCGATTAGCTCTTAGCTCTCGGCTCTCGGGGTCTGGTTGCCTGAGTGTCAGAGACAGCGGCAGCCCGCGGCCGCGCGCTGCGTCACGCACTGCTTTTTACTTTTTACCTGAGTAATCGAGGGGCGAGGGCCTGGATCAAGGAGCCCCTCGATGAGAGACGCACCAGGGCCGCCAGGGTGCAATTTCAATGCCCCGTCCCCGTTCTCAACGTTACCCGTCCATCGTTCTTCGGGATGAAGATTGCCAAAATGCGTGCCAGCTCCCACCCAGTCACAGGCCCGATCACCCCCCTACCAATCACTCTCCTAAAATACCCTCCTAAACTACCTCATGCAAAGCTGCCCCTTTATCCCAATCACCCTCCTACCCGGGCTTCCCCTTTTCACTCCCTGCACACTCCTGACCCGCAGCAGGAGACAGAGGGAGAGGAAGAGTCGCAGGCTGCGACTCTTCCTCTCCCTCTGTCTCCTGCTGCTGCAACTGCTGATCCTCCCCGTAGCCATTTGGGCTCGAGGTGAAAGTCCGTGCATTGCCGATTTCCGACGCTTTCTAACATATTTCATTCTTGAGGCTTTCTGGTCCAACTGCCGAGATGGTCGTCTCCGGCGCGACTGGCGTGGGCAGCTCGCCGCCACCATCGTGCAAGCCCTGCCTCACGCCGCCGAAGCCGTCGACGGGGGCCGTGGAGATGAGGTGCATCAAGTGCAACAACATCGCCACCACCGCTGATTCTGCACCTACTGGCTCGAAGACGGTGGCTTCGGTGGAGCACTACGTGTGCCGCGGCGCTGGGCGCGGCATGAAGGCCCGAGTCAAGGGAGACAAATGCCTCAAGACCTGGTGGGATAACCTGAAGGGGGCCGAGCTGGTTGAGTGGTACGACCGCCAGTATCACAAGACGCAGCCAGGCCGCGGTCACAAGAGGGAGTGGGACGACACGCAGTTCACGCAGAGTCAGCAGCGCAGCACTGGCCACGAAACCAGGGGCAGGATCTACTGGCAGCCATTCGACGAGTACGAGACGTTCTGGCTGTTGAGGGGCAAGACTCCGACTCAGATCGCCGCTCAGTGGAACGTGGATTGCGAGGACCCAGCCAAGGGTGCCATGAAGCGGAATGGCCAATGGCACCTGCCAAAATACATGGGTATCCTCGAGGACACGGTGGACAGCGACATGACCGTGTCAGCTATGGGCCGCGCCGTTAAGCCGACAGATTGCGAGATGGCGAGGGAGCTTCAGTCGGAGTTCACCGCAGAGCACGAGGCGGTACTCAACAGGGTCGAGGTGTCTATCAACTCGAGGGTGGGTTCAGGTGCGTCGACTGACCGTGCCTTGAGCATGCAGCCCGAGGATGTGAATGTGCAATCTCTGGCTGGGGTGACCATACAGGCTGCGCTGCCCAATGAGATCATGCGGGACTTGAAGCGCAAGCTCGCGTCGGAGCAGGAGCTGGACGCAGAACTGGCCATGATTGCCGAAGAGCAGGCGAACAAGATGGCCGCGGACAAGGCCAGTGGCAGTGGCAGCAAGCGGCAGAAGAGCCTCGATGTCCTGAAGGTGACCGCCTGGCAGACTTGCAGCGCCCACTCTTCGAAGGTGAAGGGCGAGGGCGACACCATGGAGACCAAGATGCAAGATCTTGTCAAGGGGATGGACACTGTGGCGGACGCGACTCACGCGGCAGGACTCCACGGTGATGGTGGGAGTCTCGAGGCCGACGATTTGAAGAGCCAGGTGAAGGCCATCAAGGACAACATGACAGCGGTGCTTGCAGTGTACAGGGAGAACGCCACTACGTTCTGCGAGGGCAACCTAGCCAAGTCCAAGATCATGGAGTGCACTTCCACTGATGAGCTGGATACGGTCGTCGCCAAGATGAAGGCCGACGTCGCTAGGTTCAAGAAGACAGAGCAGGCGCTCGCGAACTTTAAGGACGCGCACGCCCAGGGCATGAAGCTCATCAAGGATGCGCAGAAACTGCTGGGCAAGTCTACGCAAGGCCATGGTTCGATCCAGGCGCCGGGTGGTCAGAACGCCGCTGCTGGCCTCAAGAGCTTGACAACCATGCGCCAGTCGATGGCAGGCAACTTCGACTCTGGCGCGCTGGACCCCAAGGAGTTTGACAAGTTCTGGACGGAGCAGAAGATTGCAGTTTTCAGGAGCCGCGAGGGCTGCGACTTCGAGACCAAAGTCAAGGATCTGTGTGCTGATGACTACTATCAGAAGTCGGTGAAGTGGCTGGCGAAGCACATGAGGGATGGCGACCTCACGGGTGCCAAGGCGGCGATCATGAAGGCAACGCACGCGCGCTCGATCAACAAGGTCATGCAGGAGTGCTTCAGTGCCCAGGTGCTGCAGGAGGTCGACTTCGCTGGGTCCGAGAAGGTCGGTGTGTCAGAGCTCGTGCTGCTGCTAGCTGCTAGCTCCTCGCTCTTTGCCCCCCTCTCCCCTCAGTCTGGACCCCCTGGATTTCCCAAAGGGCACTCGCAGGCGATTATAACGGCAAGGGGGCGATAATGTACCTCCTCCTCCTCCCCCTCTTCCTCCTCCTCCTCCTCCCTCCTCCTCCTCCGAGCCTCCTCGTCCCTCCTCCTCCTCCTCCTAGCCTCCTAGCCTCCTCCTCCTCCTCCTCCTCCTCCTCCTCCTCCTCCTCCTCCTCCTCCCTCATCCCCCCTTTAAGAGTCCAGCAGTCTTCTGCAGTATAGCGGAGGACGGGAGCAAACATTCACTTAAATATAGTGTCCGTGGCATTGCAGAGACGACAGGTCTTGGTCTTGGTCTCCCTCCTCCTCCTCCTCCTCCTCATCAGCATCCTACTCCCTACTCCCTCCTCCCTCCTTTGGCCTTCCGAGGGCGCCCCTCCCTCCTTTTATTGCTCGCACTCCTGCGAGCCCCCCAACCTCATCGTGATGCCCCGATGCCCCCTCCTCCTCCTCCTCCTCCTCATCATCCTCCTCCATATCCTTCTCCTCCCCTTCCCCGCCCCAATTACCCCTTCGTGTTGGTAGCAACACTAGCGCTGACCCTAGCAATGGGGTAACGAGATCTTCGAGACGCAGCTCTTCCGGTACCACTCGGGGTGGAGCTACGTCGGCCCTGGCAACTTCGGCTGCGGCGAGCTCATGTGGGTGTTCGCGGGCGAGGCCGTGGTGGCAGGCGTTCCCGAGTCAGCGTGCCCGGGGGCCAGCCTGTCGAACAAGATCGCCTTCCTCAACGGCGCTACCAAGGAGGACTGGGACATTGTCACGGCCAGGCCTGGTGGATTTCGGCTTTCCTTGAAGGCGCCCGATGCGTTTGCTTATCCGCCCGGCATGATCGTGATGTTCGCGGTGGTGTCTCCAACGCTCGAGGGCGCGCGCCGCGGCGTCCTGAAGCCAGAATGCACAGCCCAGGCCCTCACGATGATGGATCAGATGTGTCAGATTTTCGGCGGGATGGATAGTGACGGCCACAAGTCCTGGGTAAAGTACCTCAAGGCGTCGATGTGAGCTGTGGGCTGCCAGTGGGTACCTCACGTGCGGCTGCTGGTGGGTTGACCGCGTTTTCTTGGCCACTTTGAAGGCCTCACCTGGCGGGCCAGCGGCCTCGATGCCCGTCGTGTCTTTAGTTTTGGAAGCGCTGACCGAGCGCGCTGAGGTCAAAACATTCTTCTCTTCACGCTGTAGTTTGGCGTACTTTGGGGCAACTGTATGCCCACGCCTGCAGGCGCTCGTGGTCGTTGCTGGCAGTCGTGTGCGAGTGGCAGTTGCATGGGGATGAAACTCGTTGAAATCTTCGCGTGATATGCAGCAAAATGACCAGCGCTCAAAGAAAGACGATGGATCGATCCGATCCCTCGTGAATCAGAGCCACCAGCCACCTACAATCATATCCTTCTCGTCCTCTTTCAGGGTCCAAGGGTCTACCGTCCATCATTAAAACGCCCCCACTTCCCCACCCCCTCCTTTTGCCAACACTCACCCCCGCTCCTGCTCCGAATCCCGCGCCCGCTGCAAATATAATTAGTGCGTCCGTCGTCAGTCTACTCCCCCAACGCCTACTAATCTCAATCCTACTTCCGACTGCGATTCGATTCGATTCCAACTCCGATCCCGACTCATACCTACAGTCCTCTTGCCCCCTACTCCTTCTTCCCCGCGCGTTCTTGGATCGAGCGAGGGGCCGTGGATTTCCTGGGCCCTGGGCCCCCATCACATCTCCGAGCCTCCGAGCCATGTCGCGAGTCTCCAAATCTGGATCCCAAGCCTCTGAATCTGGATCCACTGGATCCCGAGCCTCGCGAGCTATGTCAGTCACTTCGAGGGCAGCTGCGGAGTGGGACTTCCTATCGGAAGGTTCGGACGATGAGGCCAAGACCCCGAAGGCAATCGCACCGGCGGTGACGGCGGCGAAGCAGCCCGAGCAGCCGCTGCGGACACCAATGCGGACGCTGGGGCCTGAATGGCGCTGGGCCCAGGTCGTGCCAGCCTTGCGCCGCCTGGCCCACATCAGGCCAAGCCGCCCATCCTCCCTCCTCCTCCTCGTGTCCTCTCCGTGCTGCTGCTGCTGCTCCGAGCCTCATTGTTCTCCTTCTGGACTCCTCTCGTCCATCCTCCTACCCCTCCTCAGAGGCGTTTGTGGGGCCTCCTGGGTGGACACCTCAAGATTGTGAAGTCCAGGGGCCGCGAGCAGCGAGCGCCCGGTTGAGCGCCGGCGGCCGAGGCGGCCGCGGCGGCCACGGAAAAGGATCGGTAGTGCGGGTGCGGGAGGAGGTAGGAGGATAGGAGGAGAGGATGAGGAGAGACAGAAAAGCCCAGAGGAGAGGAGGAGAGGATGAGGAGACGGAATGGCCCAGGGTAGACTGTGCGGATCAAGCCAACTCAGCCAGCCAACCAGCCAGAGCCATACTTTGTCGAATTAGCTCTCGCGGCGCACGCCTGCGCCTAATTCGTGGCACGCTTGTTCTCTGAGCTCGCTCGTTAGAAAGATTTCATCGCCCTCGGACAGCTGCAGATTTACAACCATGCACAAAATATCAGATCCATGTAAACAAAAAGCTCGTTCGCGGAAATGCAGAAAAAACATACGATTCGACTCATGCTTGTGAGATCTCGGGTGACATCCAAGAAAACCGCTCGGTTTTAAAGGCCGCCAGGGGCCGACTGGTTCGGATATGATGTGCGGGCGGGATGCGCTTCTCTGCGTATTGTACAATTCGTCTTGTTGAAGGTCTGTGCACTGTGCATCCACCGCCCAAGGCCAAAG